ATATCGCGTCGGCAATTGGCGGAGACCAAGAATTAAATGATGAAAACATGTATTAGTGGCAATATTGAAATTGGCAAGCAATTGCTAATGAATATAGATAGAGAAAGCGAAAACCTTTACTTGCGGTCAAAATTTTAGTCTTTATTTATGAAAACCATGGTGGCAAAATAGGAAAAAAAGAGAGAGAGAAAATGCAATTTTATAATATTAAATACTCATGATGTCATTCTTTGCTGGTAATTTAATCGTTGTGAGGTCATATCAATGTTCGCGCGTTTCTTTGCTAATCTCGCAAGAATATATAACTCGGCAGCTCACTATAATAAATTTGAGAAACGACGAGTCTATAAAAGTCTTTATAAACATGTGCATATCCATGATCAACGCTGCTTCATCTTTTAACTAGAATTAATATTAAGCCATGTTTCCTATCATCCTATTTCAAAATACAATGGAAAAAATGACATTAAAACATAAAGTGTACACAATTCATGAAATTTTGATATCGAAACATCAATAATTTCTTTATATTGAATTGTCGGATTGTTGAGAGCATCTAAACCTACCATTCCGGTTTACCTTAAAGCCATAATGGATTAAACAGTATATTTGCCCGAAATATTAATTAATGACACATGCTTGTTTTAACATGACGTCGCTAATAATATAAATATTTTGATTTTGTCTATCTAAAACAGTACACTTGTACAAGGACAGTACGACATATTCGTGTATTTTTTTTTTTAGAAATATTAAGATTAAACCGATTCAAAAGGTTTTTTTCGCAAGACATGAAACAGTCCTTTTTCACCAGACTCTGTAATTTTCTATCTAAATATTTTACATAACATTATTACCTACATTTACAGTAACTAACAAAATAAAACATTCATTGCCGGTCACCGAATCAACGTCATTCAAAGTTAGCGTCGCACTTTTCTTTTCATAATATGATTTCTTCATGACGTCAATTTTGTCTATTGAATTTATAATAAATACGGCACAAAAAGCTCGTTTTACAAAAACGTCTTTCAGTTAAAAGTTTATATCAAATGTCATTTCATTTGAGATCTTATATATTTGTATCCGTCGAAGTTCTAATGTGGGTTTTTTTCTACCACTAATGACGTCATTTAAATTATTTAAGTAAACCTGGCCGGAAAGATGGGAAATAACTTTCAAAAGATAGTACTTTTGAATTATTTAACTGTGTAATTCAAAAAAGATAATTATCGGTTGTATGTCAACACATAATGATGAAAATACAATGTGTAGCTGACACAAGAAAAGCAAAGAGAGACTTTGTTTCATTAGAAATTTTAACATGTAAGACGAAATCGACGACGGTTGTTATAAAACGATAAAAGAAGCATAGCCAATTAATGTAGTTTTGAAACTTTTTCCTGAGTTGTTTTTTGAATCTCATGATTTTTTTACAAGTCTTTATACATTCTTTGTTGTTTTTTTTACCAATCAAACACCTAAGATCCGAGTTTGAGCTTACAGAAAACTCTTAATAACCTTTGGCCCGGGTCAGTTTGTGTGATACTCACGTTCATTTGGATATGAATAAAAGATGCTTCAAGCCATCAACTAAATAACAGATACATAAATGAAATCTAGTGACATATGTTGTCTTTATGGACAGTTTTGCTTGTTAAGATTTACGAAAAAGCTTCATACATGCATTTACAATCTTATTAGCTAATGCCGTTATTGTGTACCCTGTCACTGAAAAACAGGTTTTCATTATATCTATGAGAAGTTGTAGCACTTAGACCTCCCTGCTCGTATGAAATAGGACTTTTTACGAATAAAACCGTGAAAACGTATAGATATTGACTGCAACTGTTTTTAAGAAACTGTTTGGAACATCAGAACCTCAAATTATTTCTGCAAAAATGTCTTCCGTAGACATATCAAATAATATCGAGGAAAATATCAACCGATATTATTTTGTTCTAATAAATATAACATTATCTGAATTGTGACCTTGACATAGGTCAATCACTTTGCCATATGTTTCTTATGTTTATATATTTCAGTCTGATTTAACGTTTTATGCAAATTGATTTAGCATAATATGTAGCAACATGTGATTCATTGAATAAACAAGATGTGTTAAAATTAAGATCATGTCAACATCACGTACATAATCAATTAAGGGTTTGCGATGATAAACATTGGTTTTGAATTTTCATTGATAAGAATGGTGTTCAGTAAATATGCGAAAAAAGTGTTGAACCATATTTTAGAGTGTTCATATGCGATATTCACCTGTACAAACAAACAGTAAATACATATTGATAATTGAAAGAAGGTATGGGAAATTATTCGTTCTTACGCCTCTGTTAAACCGTCCTTTTGGCTTGTCGCTTTGCCTGGTGCCTGAACGATGGTTCTTTATGGTTTGTGCTGTTGGAGGCTGCGTAAAGTGAATATCGCTCTCCTTTGCTGGTCTTTCTTTTAATCTTAAATTAATTAATTAGCAATAGTGATAACAAAAAAACAACTATGTATAATAACATAAAGCTTAATTAAAGAGCAAACCTTACTATACATGAAAATACTAAACAAAGAAGTACTACATAAAATGTACATCACTGTAACAAAAAAATAAAAAAGAATTCCTAGAAAGCATATGTGTGGCGTCGGCCCAACGTTTGCTCACCCTCTGTGCTACACGTATATATTCCACGCACGGAATGCACGCATGCTTACATAAGTAAAAACATTTATTGTATTTTTCAAAGAACTATCCCCGTAAAATTTTGGCAATTTGGTTTTATAAAAAGTGAATGTTTTAAAGTAATTTCGTGTCAAAAATTACTGTCGCAAACTTTAATTTAAAATTAAAATATAATGATTGTATATAGAATTGGTCTGTTCATCATTCCTTTTCCTCTCATGTCTGAAGCACACATTTCTGATCCAAAAGCATCTTTTGAACGATATATTAAGTCCAAAACTTGGCCTAATTTCAAGTCTAGAACAAACATTTCATCTGTGTTTTCAAAATTGATAACAACTTATTCCGTTTTGTTATGTTGTGTTCCAATGTAGCAAATCATATAATTTTACCAATTGCCAACAAAGCAAAAGAAGCAAAGATAGATCATCTATATGGCAAATGGAAACTGTGACAAAATACCAAAATGTTTTGTGCATAATGGATCTTTAATAAATCTCCCTTCCTATACATGTTAACATGTATGTTTGCCGTAAAGGACCAAGTGACCAACCATACAAAACAGCTGGTTTCTTAAATAATGATCCCTGATATAGAAGAAATCATTGGCTGAGAACAGTAACAAAAGAGTCAATGTCTGTTATAAAAATGGATAAAAATGAACTGTTGTAAAATATTTTGTTACTATGTAATAATAAAAAAAGAATAACAAAACACAAAATGTACAGGGATTGTATTTTAGGCAAATGTTGTAGTTTCTTAGGCAATCGATTTCGAATTGTTTTATTTAACTGTATACGAGGATAGGATGTACATAATTATATAAAAATGGTTTTATGAAAATTTAATAGGATGGGTGATTACGAGCACATCAAATTTGCATCAATTGCAAAAAAGCAGAACAACTTTTAATATAAGATAAACTTACATTACAACAAAAATATATAGCATAAAACAAATAAAAAATAGCTGAATTTTAGTATTGACATAAAAAATCCTCCAAAAATATGTAAACTTTCTAATATGTCTTATAATTTAGTCGTTAATTAAATAGTCTCTTTTGCTTTACTCGTAATTATTTATTGAAGGTATCAACATTTTATTATCAATAAGCTGGTGTTTAATCATGCATCTAAATTCAGGAGAAACCCAACTTCAAAGAGAAAACATCAAACATTTCCTTCCTATTTTATCTAGAGGAAACAACCTGTTATTCAAAGCATCAAAATTCACACGTTCGTACCTTAACAAGTTCAGTGAACTTTATAATCTGTGAAATTTGAAATGGATCAATCTCTTAAGAACGATGAGATCTTAAGATTGAACTCTAAAATAGAGAAAACAGAATCTTTAAAGAAAGAGCTCAACACGGCAAAATTGAAAATGTTGCAGGCTCTGTTTGATTGAGCATGTTTATGGACAGTACTGGAAAGTGCTAGTAACCTTCCACGCCCCCTTGCACTTGCTTAAGCAGAATTGAACATTTAAACACGAATATGGTGAAATTTAAATTTAGAAACATCCGCATGTGTGTTCATTCGGTTGTTTACATTTAACCTTCAATGTGACACAGTAAGATTGTTTTGATTGTGCATAATAGTTATCAATAGACCTATCTATATTACAAACAACCATTGGGCAATCTTTGTGTAATATTAAAGTACCAAATACTATCATAATGGTCTTCAACTGTGACTGGTTGCCAGAGTAAATATTTGATAGGTTTATTATATTCATGTTTTTATTTAATAATATAAAAAACAAATTACGGATTTTTACATTTCGATGCAATTTTTGTATTCATGTCAGTTGATAGCTAGATACAGATTATATTCATCAACATAGTGTATACGTAACAAAACCCCAAAAACTTGAGGGGATAAGCGTGTGCGGAACAATAAAAGCTTACTGGAAGATAATTTTTTACATGAAGAATTTCACAATTTACTAAAAATAAAAAACCTGGGGATACTTGAGAACAAATTTGTTGCCTAATCTTCATTTTTAAATCTTACAATGTTACAAAATGAATGTAATAGCAAAAACAACAGTAAGTGACAGTGGATCGTATTTTTATTTTTTTTGTGTTTGTATGTATGCGTGCGTGCGTGCGTGTGTGTGTGTGTGTGTTTGTGGTTGCTGTTGTGTTATTTTTTGTGTTTTTGTTTTCTTTTTTGTTTTCCTTTTTTTTTGGGGGGGGGGGGGTGGTACTGTTTGTTTTATGTGTCTTTCCTCTTCATTTCATATGCTGTTTCTTATAAATATAAACATTTTTATTTTTTATTTTACAAAAACATACCAGACGACAATCATAGAAAGTCAACCAAAACATTACATATTTGAGACTAAACTTGGAAAACGCACCAGAAAAAGGTACAAGTTTAACTTTTCTACAATATTAATTTTCATATAAATAAAAAACCTGAAATCATATAACATTAAATAAAATATAGGGCAAATTCTTTCAATAAGCCTTTACATCAGTTCATACTTCATGCATTGAATATTTAATCATTTAAAAAGACTGATTTAAAAGAAAAAGAAAAGATCTGATAAAAACAACACACTCACAGGCGCAGTTTGAGAGTATGTAAAAAGAAATTCATTTTTCAAGAAAAGTGATGAAAACGCATAAATTTCATTTTTTCTCATTTTTTCTCATATATAAAAAAAAATTTTGCTAAAAGTAGCACCACCTTAATTAGCTAGCTACCCCTAGATCACGACATATGTGATAGTATATTTTTCAGACATCTTCTGGAGAATTAAAGATTATAAAGCCTATCAAAGGTCATTAAGAAACAAACTAACGAGTAAACAGAAAAATCTCTGAAATTGATGAATCAACGATAAATTAGTGCATGTGTTTTATCAAAATAACAACTCCGAAAGGTAATAAATTTTATCAAAAATAAATTCATATACTAGTATTTGATTGCAATTAATCATTTTTAGGGAAAAGAGCAACTTAAACACATTAAATGCACATATAATAACATCTGTAATGAAAAGAAAAGTTATAATTAAACTTGAATTGGGAAGAAACCGTCAACATTACGTTTCAGTTTAATCAAAGATGCAAAACGAGTTGTTAAAAGGATGATCCCTCAGAGGTAATAATCACAACAAAATTACTTGAAATTTAAAGTTAACAATGACTTTGTGATGCAAAACATGTATAGTTTATAAATCAACGACATGATTTTTACCAATTAGTAGTACTCACACATATTAAGTATAATGGCATCATATTGATTTTCTGCGAGAAATGGTGTGCTTGACAATGTTGGATGGGTGGGGCATTATGTTTTAGTCACATTAAAAATCACGACTTGATAAAACCAATTGTATTTTTATGTAGTTCTGTTTTACTATTGCAAACATACGCTTAATATCTCTCTGATATTGTTGACAGGGAGATATCTTTACTTTCTCCACCACTGTCTAAATCATGGTGTCTTCGCCATCGGCGACAACAAGGTGAATGGCAATACATCTGAATAAAAACCCGTCGATAATGGTCAGAGACTAATATATAAATGATGATATCATTGGCGGCATTGATGTACGAAAAGAGATTGCTTATGTCTATGAATAGCCAGAACGATAATTTGTACTTGCCATCAAAGCTATAACCTTTGTCAATGAACGCCATAACTTTGATGAACAAATTGGGCAATGATAGCAAGAAGTACATTAATGTTATACAAAACACTGTTGACGTTATTTTTGTCTGCTGGTTATTGAGTCCTTGTGACGTCATATCAATAATTGCGCGTCTTTCGCTAATCGCACGAGAATATACGACTGGGATCGCTATGTTAATGATAAGAATTACAATGGCTGGAATGACGTAATCAATAATTGTTTGTACTAGCATGTACATATCCATAGTTTCAACAGCTTCTTCTTTAAACTGGATATAATATTCAGTCATGTTTCCTGCCTGGTAAGATCCCATTTCAAAATACAAAGGATAGGGAATAAGGAAAATGACATTAAACATGAAGCATACAAAGATTATACTCTTAGGATATCGGGATAACCACGAGTTCTTCACAGTAAATGGACGCATGAGTGCATTCAAACGTTCGATTGACATCACAACTATAAGTGCATGTGAAGTGTGAGCCAGCACCATGTCAACATATATTGTCCCAAGTTTCATATGTTCCTCAATATAGTTAGCAAGCTGTTTGTCGATTAGGTCAATGATGTGGGGGATATGACGCAGCAATCCGAATATAAGGTACAAAAGATCGAAACATGTTAAACTGTACAGAAACAGGTAAATTGGTAATTTTTGTTGTCTTGTGTCTTTCCAAAGCACTCGAAGCCCAAGACTATTTCCGACTATTCCAAATGCACATATTATTGGTGACAGAATAATATTTGATATGAAAGCAAATTCTTCATATGCTTCTTCGGTAATTGAGAACAGCCCGCCATCATTGTCTGCTGATCCCCAAGACGAAGTAGAATTTTCTTCAGAAAATGAAGAATTGTTCCTATTTTCCATCGTATTTTCAAATTTTCTATAACTTTACATTTTCTGAAAGAATACAAGAAACAAAATCTTTATACAGGTATCTTATAATTCATTTAACATAAATTTTCTTAACCTCAATGAAGACAAAAATATATTTATCAATATTAAAAGAACATAACCGGGAATCTTGTACCTTCCTAAATTTGCATGGATATAGTGCATGTATTTCGAGATATATTCAAAACGATCTCGGTCTCACATTATATATACGAGATATCAAACAGTTTTTCTTTTACAAAAATTATGATAATGATGTGAAAAATGTTTAACAGCATTATTTGGATTGATACAACAAAAGGTGTAAACTCGCTAATTTTTACATTCAACTATGGTTAAACTATTCTGAATTTGTTCTATAATTACGACAATGTACGCTCACGAAAATTATTTATTTATTGAACATAAGTATACATATTTTTATCGAACTAAAATAACACTCACATTTGATTAAATCACTCTTTCGATTGAAACAAAGTTGTCATTGAAAATGTATTTAGAGGCTGTGATCGGAAAGACAGGAAATTACTTCCTGAAATACAAGATAATTACAAGTGTATGTCACGACAAATAGTAACAAAACTGTACAGAATCCAGAAATCAAGAAAAGCAAAGATAATCTTGCTTAGGCAAACACTATTTGTTATATCAGTTATTTTGACATAACGACAATAACTGTTCCAATGAACTCGTTAATTGTTCTTTTCACTCGTTGCCTAAATTAAGTTCTTATTAGTTGGTACACATCATCTTTTGTGATGGGGTTAACGGGAAGGGGAACTAACGAGATTGATGTTTAACAGAACTAGCATTGTTTTGCAAAGAAAAAATATGGAAGTGAATGCTCAAAAAAATAACATTTGTAATATCAAAAAATAGTAACTGTGATTGTCTCCGATTCTGCTGAATTGAAAATGTTGCAAGGCATTTTTGTGTTCTCGAAACTTAAAAAATAAATGCATGTTTTCATTTATTTCTGTAAAAAAAATCTGGATAAAGTGTAATCCCTCGGAATCAGTAATCGCAACAAAATTACATGAAAATTGCAGACTCGGTTTGAGTCTGTTCATGAGGGATAATGAAAATTGCATCATCCTTCACGCCCCCTAGCACCGGCTTGAGCGGAACTCAATTTTCCAAAACTTAACACTGCTAGAATCAATGATCCCGAATGACCAGAAAAATATGACATGTTATGTAATGCAAGCCACATTTAAGTTAAGGACATTTAAGTTAAGGACGTTTTCAGGAGTTTTAATTTTGCCTATATGTCTATATGAAAACTCCGGAAAACGTCGTTAAGTTAAAAAAAAGGAGAACAGTGAAAATAAAAATGGTATGCAACCAAACAATAAAACAATGTACAAAACGAATAACAAGGAAAGAACTGGGAACAATAAAGGTTTTTAAGATGCTGTCAACCCGGAAATACATAAGTTAAAGTTCATTTGCTAATTTTTTGAACCGGAAGAAAATTAATCTGCATATTTTTACAACATGCTGTTAATTTTTTCTCTTACAAAAAGATGAAAGACACATCAACGACTTTGTGTGACATATGTTGTCTTTATGTGCTTGCTTAATTGCTTGTCAAGATTAAGAAAAGGCTTAATTATAGAATTTTTGTTTCTTTTAACAAATGTCATCATGCTGTGCCCTGTAACTGAATACTGATTATAGAGTTTGATATACAATGTATATATATTAAATTGTAACATATTGGACGACCAATTTCTTTTCTGACAGAAAAGTATATTGATTGAAGCATTTCATGGGAAACTGATTTGCAAATGCATATTTAATAGTATTAAATGTGATATACGGAGAAAAAAAAACCTGTAAACTTTTATTGAATTTGATTTGCATAATCTTCATTTTATTAAAACAACGCAAAATGTGTGTAATGGAGTTGCAATGCTTTTAATTTGTAACTGTAACCGTCTCCTGTTATTTTAATGACTCAACCAACCAAAACAAAATATCAAAATGTCTGGTCAGTCTACATGATTGATAAGTGATATTAAATTAGAAACATTAGTTATTATTTATTACATCTAGCATTTCGAGTTTTAATACACAGTTTACACCTGTTGCCAGCGGAAGCATTCAATTATCACTTTTATATAGTTTCCAATTAAGCAACGTCTGTCCAGCAAATAAGTAGCATTCATATTTTTCATTCTCTTGATTAAATAGTAAAAAAAATATTTTGTTAAAAAGAAACTTATAGACTGCAAAATGTAAGTCATCCGAATTAATAATGATTCATAAGATGGGATTGAATTGTAACATCTTGAGAAACTTTATAACATAACCTTAATTAATCGAATGCTACAAAATGACGTTTCTGAACGTAAAGTGGTGTATATACACATATCATACCAGAGCTATCTGTATAATTGATCCAAATTAATCTTAACATATATCACATCATAGATTTGTTTTTGGTGATTCGTGTGCGTTTGCAACTTAAGTAACATTGACAACTGTAGAACAAGCGCCTCTTGTAATCTTGACTTGGGATGTTATTTCACGTTTGATGCAAATGTATGTAAGGAAAAAAATAAATTATTATAACAAATTGAATCTTTTTGACGTTAATAAATCATTTTTAAGCTGCCAACCAACTTAATTACCTTGCAAAAATATTGTTTTCAAAAATATACAGTTATAACAAATATCACATTAGTAAGACTACTTTAAAAAATATATTTTCTGAAAAGAAGTAGGTAGCATCTGAAAGAACTTTTATTATATGCTTTTGTGTTACATCTGAGAAATCTAATGATGCCTCCTGAAAAGCTGAAAAGCTATCTAGTTTAAAAATTAAGCAACAACTTGACATGATGATCCCCTATATCTGAGATAAGGTCAAGATAAAATGATAAAAAAATTGGTACTTTCACATTAAAAGAACTTTTGTACAAGTCTCTGAACCTGTGTTATTGAATAATTTCATTAATGAATTGCAAAACAGCTTATACAGTCATACTGGGCCGTCTTTATCATTTATTATCGCAGTTCTGATATTTTTTGTCTCTTAGTATACACAATATTTTCGTTAAGTTGGGATGAAATAAGAAGTTTGTCCGGACAGCCCTTTACTCTTATCTGCCTCGACCACAGTTGCTTTTTAAGAAAAGGCACACATAATAAACATTAGGCTAACTATATACTAACTAAATAGCCCCTGTGATAGCAACTAAGAGCAACTTTTTGCATTTTAACGTTAGGCCCTTATGGTCGGTAATAATTGTTTTTTGTGTGTGTGTTTATTGACAAGTCTATCATCTTACCTTTTCCTTTGATTGCTTGTTTGCGTGAATATTTCTGAGAGTGGGAAAAATTAAATACATGGAGTAAATTTATAACATGCTAATAATGTGCATACTTTCAGTTAAAGGGCAAACAGTCTTCATCATAAAAAATATGTTATCATATAAAATGTATTTCAATAGAAATAACTCTAATGATAAAGAATTAATTTCAACAAGTGTTGACATATTAATCTAGGTATTACTATTCATCTGACATTATATAAAATTGTTCATTAAATATTAACTGATACATTGTGTGCATTTTATGCAATGTATCATCACTCTAACTTTTCTTTACATAAATTGAATCATATATTAATTTATATAATATACCGGTATATGTTATGCTTAGATTAACAGTTTGTTCAAGATTGAAAATAATTATTTGTTGTTTTTTGCCTAAGATGTTAGATAAAATAAATGTTATGTAAATAAGTGTTTGTAAATCGAAATTCACGACGGCAAATTCAAATATTGAGTCCTATATTTGCATATCAGTCATACATATTGCCGATGGTGATTAAGAATGCGAAAACATGGAAAAGAATATTTGAATTAAACGAATTAAATAACATCTAATTATAATACTGCATGTTTGTAACGTTGCTTTTTTGTTGTTAAACACACGCCTGCTGTCAATTTGTGGATATGATAAAAATATTAACAGACCAACATAGTTTATCAATAAATGTTTTGCTTTTAGTAATCAAACTTCATCAGTTAATATATTAAATAACATAGAAAGCAGATGAAATCTATGAAGTAATTTTCGCTTTTCTTCAAATACAGTAATTTTTCAGTATAATGACTTAAATATATATATATATTTGCAATATAATTAGTAATATAAGCCTCGCCAAGCGGTTTGGCTTATATAAGCTTACACCCGTTTACATGGAGCCATATAACACTTCAAACACCTTTATAACTAATAATACACACATAATCAAACTTTATATAAATGTGCATATACTATGTGTACCTTGCTTATTTTAGAGGCAGTACAGTTTTAAAGGGCATCATTTTTTTTTAATTCTAAAATAAACTACATGGCGTATTAAATTTTCAAAATCGTTTAAATTGATGAATATACGATAGCAGTATGTGATATGGTATTTCGAGAAAATTTAATACCATTTGTCTAACGCTCAAAAATGATAAAAATAAACATGAAAAGAATGATTTACTCTTTAGACATATTGTACATGATTGCATTTAATTTTATAATTTTGCAAGCATAGAATAAAAGTTACATATCTTAACAAAAAACGTTCTCAACAAAGCATTTAAATATGGCTAATACAGTAAAATACAAAACATTTGGTATAAATGAATTCTGGCCTAGTACCCAGATTTAGAAATATTATGATATTACGTCAAAAAGGTTTTATTAATAAAATGACAAAGTATTTATACCTATCTACATGTAAACAAGATACATATAATCAATAAATATTACTGTTTAAATACATATTACTATTTCTTTACACTTTTGTCAATAATAATATTTTTTGTTTAAATTCTTATTGTTCTCAAATGAAGTTTATATTTTTGTTTGTTCGTTTGTTAGTTTGTTAGTTTTCTTGTCATAATACAGGTACATGCTCATTATATCGTATGTACAGCAATAAACATGCTATATGTTTATTCTGAATCTTGAATCAAAATAAAAGCTGAAAATGTTCGATATTTAACACATTAACAATCTGCACCAGCTCTCATCTTTTCTTTCTAACTTGAAATTAGCAAGCAATTTTAAAACAACCAAATTAAGATGTTACAATGTGCAAGACCAATCGATTTGAAAATTTTATAATTTTTAAACCTGAATTGCGTCCAGCCCTGAAAAAATTAAAACAGCATATCATTTAATATCTTAACTGAAGAAAAAAAATACATTTAATCTTAATCAGTACTCGTTTAGAAAAACATTAAAACATATGGACAGATATGTCGCCTATAAAATTGAAATATATATATATATACTTTGAAACTTAATTGTGATTTTTCCTGAACATATGAACTGTCTGCGTGTTTGTTTTTCTTTTATTATACATTTGCATGCATTTGTAAACTTATATCAACACATGTCATTCATTTAGTGCGGTTATGTCAAAACCTGGCATATTACGAAATATATGCCTTTTTTCGATTAGGTAATCGACATTTATAAAAGGAAACATTTGTTAATCATATTGTAACACCTTGAACTGAT